CCCCCTTGCTGTGTGAGCACACCCGGATTCTCTGAAGCATTGTAAACAGAGGAGATGGTAGAGACTGAAGAGGCACCCAGGTCCCTCAACCCAGACTCAGTTTCCTTGCCTTGTGCACCAAGGGTCAGGAGAATGCATTTATTGGGCTCTGAGAAAAAGCCGGGAATGGAATAGCAATGCAGACTTCAGCGGGGTGAAGCGCTGACGCACGGAGGCTGGCTTTGGTTTATGCACCGGCACCCTCTCCAAGGCTGCTCTGAAGGAGACAGCCTGCCCACCCATCTCTGGGGAGTGTTGGTTGAGGAAGTATTTGCCCTCATCCTCAGCCACGTGCCTAATCTCTCAGACAGAGGGAGCAGGCGCTTACACCGAAGACTCACACGGAGGAGAGCATGTCAAAAAGAATAGTCATAATCCCACAGCAATAGCTGAGCTCCCCCTGCACTGGAGCCACGCTGTAAGGATTTGTGGCAGTGACTCTGGAGCGGAAGCCGCACCCATGGGTGCTCGTGGCGGTGGCATGGTCTGCTTCTTTCCCCGATGAAGATGTTGGAAATGCCAGGGGATTGGATGAACAACATCATTTTTATAGCTGTTTCTGGGATCATTTTCCCTCTGCCACACCCTCGGAAGAGCTCAATTCCACACGCAACTGGCAAATGGGGCTTCTGATGGATTGAAACGTACAGGCTGTTGCCAGAGGGCTGCATAGTTAAAATAAAATATACATACAGGATACCAGAGCTGACTAGCAGGGCAAGTCATACAGAAGGAATTTGAAATCGGGACTGGGTTGGCTCAGGTGGTCATCTGCGGCTGAGAGCATTCATGGTTTGAGGGCTGCTCCCAGGCTGGACCCACGTTCTGCGATATCATCTTGAACTTTCCAGAAGGAAGAGCACTTCATTCTGCTCTTACAAGCATTCCCTTTCGTCAGAAGTGGGAAATTTGATCAGCACGGCGTGGCATCAAGGTGTGCCTTCTTTACCTGAAACGGGGCTTTTACCGGCAGCAATTGCTACCTGCTCTTTGCAGGAAGCCAGAGCCGGCGGTTGGCATGGTGAGACTTTGCAATGCTACAGTGCTCTTTAAAGGAAAAGATGAGACTTTCCCGGATCCGAGCTGTTCTTTTGCAGCAGGGAGATCATTTCTGGAGGCAAGACACCTGGCTGGCCTCGAGTGGTGATTAATTTTGTGTGTTTAGGGTGCAATCATTGCTTGCAGAAAAAGGTGGAGGATTGGGATGATAGATGAGGAGCAGGGAAGAGATGGCCCATAGACCTGTTCTCCATCAGCAGTCCCTTCGATCGCTGGCAGAAGTTCAGAGAGAACTTCTTTGCATCGGCCTAGTATAAACAAAGCCCCATCCACTCGCGGAGCTCCGTGTACAACCTTTGGAGGACCAGAGCATCCGAGCATCCGGAGGTGACCCATGTATCTTCCGAAGTTATACGTGTGGATCTCTACTTTGCATTTAAAGCATGTTCGATTGGAGGTGAGTGGGATGGGGACTCTGAGTGTCTTTGTCCTAAAGGAGGTACACCATTCTCCCCACTCCCCCCTGCTGGCTACTGTCCTCCTGGACATTAGGGAGGTGACACTCAGGACCTGGCAGGACACAAGGGACAACAGTGAGCCCCTTGGCTTTGGACAATACTGGATGGTTGGCCCAGCAACTCTGCTCCTCATAGTGTCAGATGGGGCCTGACTCCCTCGCTGTCCCACTTCACAGCATGAGCTGTTTAAGAAAGTACACAGCTCATCTAGATGAGCAAAGCGTGGTATCGTGTGTTCTTGTTGTTGTCAAATGCCATCAAATCAGTTCTGACTCAGCGACTGTGTGAGTCTGGGTAGACTAGAGAAGCAAATTCATGGACACTCATATGTCTATAAGACAGAGTGTTATGTACAAGAGCAATTGAATATTGAGAAACCATCCCCGCCCAGCCCAGCGCTGGCAGGGGTCTCCACATGGCTGCTCCAGCTCAGGGCACTAGTGTAGTTCCATGTGTCGTGTCAGCTGCATCTCTCAGGGAGTGAGTAGAGAGAGTGTCTCTTGTCTCCATGAAGGAAAAACAAGAGTTCCCAGAATCCTCCAGAAGGCCATGCCCACACCGAGGCCTCATTGGCTATGAGCCGATTGACAGGCTAGACTCCACCCCTTCACTCTTAATCCTCAACTACCACAGTGACCTTATGCACAAAGAGCAAACCCCAGCCCGGTTATTAGGTACAGTCAAATTGGGTCTGACTCCTAGCGATCCTACAGAAGGAAACGCTGCCCGGCTCTGGGACTTCCTCGCAGCTACTACGTTTGAGCCCATTGTTGCAGCCTCTGGGTCGACCCACCTCTTAGTGGGCCTTCCTCTTCTGTTTCAGGGACCACCTTCGTCACACAGCATGCGGTCTTCTCCAGGGAGTGGTCCCTCCTGATAGCATGTCCAGAGGAGTTCTCCTGGTAAGTGCAATTTTAGTCCTTAGCAATGGATTGCCATGTTCTGAAACAGCGCCCAGGGTGGCAGAGGCTCCGTGGAGCGCAGACAGTGATGCCCACTTCTGGGGCTTCAACGACAAACTGCTCTCCAGTCGGAGCCTGCCTCCCTGCACAAGGACAGCACTCCACAGCTACTGATCAGGGAAATGATGTACCGATGAAAGGCAATGCTCCAAGAGCATTTTTTGTTCAATCAAAGAGATGGAAGGGGAGGGATGCTTATACCAACGAGAGGGCAAGAAAATACCCCTTTTGTGCTTCAATTAGCAAACAATAATTTGGATAATTGGAAGCAAATGTTGTTTCTTTTATCATATGAATTCCACAGTTCTTTGCCCAATGCTGTCCCCTGCAGGGTAGAAGAAATCAAGTCATAAGGAGCCGGAACTAGTCACAGGCTAAGAATCCAGGCTCTTCCAGCCGCAAGGGGAGAAGGTTGTGTCAGAGGGCAGCACGTCCTCTCCACGCAGTGGCACTGTGGTGAAGCACTCAGCTGCTCACTGCATGACTGTGGGCTCAAACCCATGCAGCAGCTCCCAGCGGGGCAGACCTGGCAGTCAGATTACAACCTAGACAACCCCCCGGGGCAGATCTCTGTTCTGTTGGGGCTATGTGAGGTGCAGTCAGCTCCCGGGCACCCAGCAATGTCAGCGTTCTCATGTGGGGGCCGCGTTGAGAGTGGTCAGGCCGATCCGCAGTCAGGGCTTACCTGCCGTCCCTCCTGGCTCTCTTCCCCAAGGACTTCTTACTCTCTGGGAGTGGCTTCTAGACTCTTGGTTTCATGGGCTGATTAAATGTGGGAGGCAGGCAGTTGGCTTCTTGGAGGGGGGAAAGGCTGATGCTGCTCGGAGAAAACACTTGGAACAGCCATCCGAGCCTCACATCTGTTAAGCAGCAAAAGAGGTCCTACACTTAGCGTGCTGTGGGCTGTTGTGTTCTCAATGGCTAATGTTTGGGAAATACTTCTCCAGGCCATTCTTCTGCGTGCCTCTGGGGGAACTTGAATGGTCAGTGTTTCGGTGAGCCGTGCGGCATGTTAAATGTTCAAAAACCACCCAGGGGGTGGCTCTGGGGAATGTGGCTCCTGCCCCAGCTCCACTCTGTCACCACTGACTTCCTGGGAAGCACCCCAGCCTCCTACCCCCAGAGGCACCTCTTGGCAGGATTGCGCCATCCTCCCCATTGGCCTGGGGAGATTTGATTTTGCCGGCTTTTTCCTGTGTCATGTACGTGAAACGGAGCCCCCCATTTCTTTGTATCCTCGCTCTCAACTCTCGGCCAATTCAGCTGGTTGCTTCGCCTCTCTCTGTACCTCAGGTAATAATGGTAATAATAATAGCGGTTGTTGTTGTTAGCTGTTAGTTGCCTTTAAAAGCAACTCCACGTACAGTGGGATGAGCTGTTATCCTATAGGACCTGGCAGGGCGGAGAACAAAACACCTTGTGAAATGGAATGAAGTTGTTCCCACCTGCCTTCTGTCACTCATTCATCATTTACTTAGAGCCTACTCTCCGTCCAGGGAACCCTGGGGGTGTCATGGTGACCAGTTGCATGGCTGACTCTGAAAAACACAGGGGTGATTCTACTGGCTCTGACAGGGTTGCTCGCTACAAGTCTGAATCGACTCGGTGGCAGCCCTCCGGGCGGCGCACATTCCGGTCAGTGGTGGCCTGGGTTTCAGAGGGCCTGGTGACAGTTGAGTGAGGTCTGTCCTTGGGAGTCCTGCGCCTGCCGTGCCAGCTGTGTTGGCTGTTTATCACCTCCAGCCTTTCCAGAGGCTCGTCTCCTGCTTACGTGCAAAACAAGCCCAGGACCTTGCCTTAGGCCACCCACTGGTCCATTTCAGAACCAAGTCTGGGTACCCTATGCGGGGCCTCAAAGTCATTTCACCACGTCGCAAGAGGCGTGGCAGCTCTGAGCAACACCGTAGTGTCCTTGAGCCCCCGTGGCCTGAGGATGGGGTGGGAGGGTCGGTCGGAGGACAGGCTTCCCTTGGCCCAGGACTATCTTGACTCGCCTTTCGCGTGGGTCCTAGCATGGTGCCCACCTTGTGAGAGGAAATGCTGAAAGGGCTTGGAGGAACGTGTAGGTTCCTTGTCTGGAAGACAGCTAGCTATAGAACACCAGGACACTGAAAGACTCTTAGAGAAACCAGCATCGGGAAGGAGGGACCTTCTGCCGATGCGCACATCATGTCAGTGCAGTTCAACTCTCTGCTTTACACAAAGACTGGGGGCATGTTCTGTCTTTCATCTGAAAGACCGTGTATTGAACTCTTGGCACATCGCTGCCCCGCTAGTAACCAGACTCTGTCCTTTTCGAATTTATGGTCTGATGGTAGAGAGGAGCATTCAGCCTCCAGAGCAGTCCCCAGGTCCTTGCCTTTACCCCTGCTGGGCAGGAACGCAGCACCAGCCTCAGGCAGGCCCCCAAGTCTGCTTGCTGAACTCACTGCCTTAGTCCTTGGGGAGCTCATCCTCAACCCCCACTCCAGATATAGCGTGAGCTCTCCAAGAGTCACTAGCTGGAAACCACGTTGTCCAACAGACAGCAGGACTGTCCACACAGTCTGAGGAGGAAAGAGAGCCATCGCTTCCATGGACGAGTGCTAGGGAGCTATAAGAAGCTGGGCCATGGAGCTGCTAGCAAGAGATAGCCCCTTCTCTTCCTTGTGGGAGCCACCATGGCTGACAGACTGCATTCTACAAGGCTCTACTGCATCCAGAACTCACAGTGTTCAACAGGAAGGCTGTGGGAAACAGACGATTTCTTCCAAGTTGTCTCCCACAAATATATGCCAGACTTAGCTGGTCATCGGGTCATTCTCCCTAAGAGCAATCAGCTGTCTAGACCAAGCAGACACCACTCCCTTCTGATAAGGGTAGTAGTTGTCTGTTTCCTTGTAGGAGACCCCAGAGAGGTCAAACCCACCCAAGGATGACCAAGATTAGGTTACCATTATGAATCTAGGGCCCGCCCATCTTGTAACATGTATACCCCTAGACCTCCCCATTTCTATGGGCACACCCCTACCATGTGTATGCCTATTGTACTGCCCCTTCCTGTGATGTGTGATTCTATAATCATGCCCCCAAAAGGTATATAGGCGTGGGTCAGCAATATAGAGCACTCTCTGGCTCCCCTCTCTCCCTTGTTCCCTTGCCCCCCTTCCCTTCCCCCTCTCTCCACGTGGACCACCAAGCTGGGCTGAGGTAAGCAATGCTACCATGTAATGTGTCTAACTGCATTAGTGTAATATCTCTCATGCTCTCGATGACTTTAATACTTATATATCTCAACCGTACAATTGTGCTTACTGAACCCATGGGTAGTAGTAGCGGTGGGGGCTGGGCCCCTACCCATCCCATAACTTAATACTACAGAAGGCCAAGGGTAGCTCCCATGCAACAGTACACCCTGCTTTACACAAGCAGGGTTATCTACCGTAATCACCAGAGCGTCCCAACGTAAAATTGAATTGCACCCGTGGTCGTTAAGAAGTTTCCAACAGGGCACCATTTGCCCCAGTACAACATTCTCAAAGCAGGAAGAGGCAGGAGTGAAGAGTCTGGAAACAGGGAACTCAGGGTGGAAGAGCGAGTCCGATTATATTGAGTGGATCACCACTCAGGCCACGAAACAAAAGGTGTACAGATTGTTGAACGGGAAATTGATTTGCTCTGTGAACTTTCACTCAAACTGTAATACAATGGTCGAAAACAAAAGCATACGTCTCTGGATCACAGTGCTGTGAGGCATCTGTGGTGGCATGAGGAAGAGCGGCTGGCGGCCAGCTACTTGGTTGGTGGCATTAGCCACAAGAATAAGGGCTAAGATGAGGAAGGGAACTGAGAACATTTGGGGGATGGAAGGAACTCATGGCAAAGCACCAGGTAGATGAGTGGAATGGAAAAGATCACGACTAGTGGGGCTAGAGCCCCAGTGACAGCATTCCAGCTTCCTGTGATTCCACTAGAAGGCTATCAGCCTCCTCCCAGACCCCCCACCCCCGCCCTCAGCAGTCCTCAGCTCCTGCTCTCCTCCTGTCCTGAAATTGTAAAGCACTAGGGCTGGTGTTTTCAAAGGCCCCACTGCTACCCCTCTGGGGTCCTGGTTCTCTGGTCTCAGCTTAGTCTGCTTTCCTCACCACATCAAATTAAGTGGTAGCAAAGGAAATCGTCTTAGGGAACTATGGGAGGGGTGGGGGGGGACAAACCTGTATTCAATAGGATTATGAATTTAAATCCTAACCCCTGTACCAGAAATGTAACCCTGTTTGGAAAGAAGGGTTTTCTTCTATGGTGCATGAGCATATAATGAAGTAGTGCGGGTCCTAAACCTAATCATTTCTGAGCTGAGAAAAGATCAGAAGGTAGACAGAGGCACATAGTGGAGAGAGACATCATGTGAAGACCCCTCTACAAGCCAAGGAAGACCTGGGACTACTGACAAAGGAAGGAGCCTACTCCAGAGCCCATGTCCTGAGGTGGAGGTCTAGTCTCTAAAACCTGTGAGAAAATAAATGTTTGTTCTTAAAACCACCCACTTGTGATAATTTTTGTCACAACAACACTAGGTCACTAAGAAAAATAGAGACCACCAGGATGGGGCCAGATCAGCACAGTGGAAGGAGCTTCACATGAGCTCTAGGGGAAGGTCTCCTTGCATATAAAACGCTTGATCACAAAGAAAATAGTTCTCCCTGAATAGTGGGGGTGAAAATTTTGTGAAACCTCCTGAAGAAATAGAACAAACGTGAAGCCTGTTTGAGTTTTTTTGGCTGTCCATACAAGACAACTCAATAGCAGGCAGGAAATATGTGGTTGTTGAGTTACTGAATTGGTTCTAACTCATGGTGGCCCCATGTGTGATGAAACAAAGCACTGCGCAGTCCCCCACCATCCTCATGCTTGCTGCTATCTTTGAGTCTATTGCTGCATCTCCCACGTCAAATCGAATTGGGGGTTTCCTTCTCTCAACGTTTCTGGTTAGATTGATGTCGGAA